GCATATTTATCAATACATGACAACTTCAGTAACGACTCATGCAGCAATGTCCAAAACTTTTCTTATACATATTAGTAATTGAATAACATGAGAATGGCAACCTTTTATGCTAACATTACACCTGGCGATGATTACAGATTTTTAAATGCTCTAGGAAATGCTGACAAAGAAAAATTTAACAAAAATTTCTTTTCATATGCTAAAAATATATTTTGTTAATGAAACTCATAGGCTAAAATATTACATTTAGTGCTATTTTAATAACTTATATGTTATTCACATAAACCCAGAAAAGGAGGCAAAATATGTTCGCACTGGACTGCAGAATTTAGGGAAGACAAAATTTTTGGAATATGGGGAAGCACCGAGCAAAATTAAGGGTTGAGAATTTTTTTATAATTTAGGGAAAGAACTGGGATCCAAAGTTAAGAGTTGGCAAAAATTTAGAACTTAGGAAGGCGCTTTATAGCAGAATTTAGGACCCGCAGAGACTGCATCAAGCGGTATATAGTGCCGTCCCTAGATAAAGCCTTAAGCATATGTGGGAGGTTATTTATTCAAGACTCAGATTAGTTTCAAGCATGTGCAAGAAATAGATGTAGGTATACTAAACTAATACAATTCAGGCTTGAATCAGTATGCAATAGGAGCAAAAAAAAATTTAGCGGAACAACTTGTCTCTCGTTGCAAATCTTATGATACATAGCCAATAAGGTGTAGCAGACACTATTAAGCTAGGCTAAAATTATCTTTACTGATTCTAAGACATTTCAGATAATGTAGCAGACTGTGCTGCTCCTTAATCTTCTAATTTGATTCAGCTTATTATTTTTTGCAGATTATTATTATTACACCAATTTTATCAAAATTAAGCCTGAACTTTTGATTATGTCGACGAGTTTATAATTCTGGAGCTGCCAAAGAATCTACAAAGTGAAAGCATATTTCGATGACTATTAAACAAAAAGTGGAATTACTGGAAAAAATGGATAAAGGCGTATCCGTCTCAAAATTATGCGAGGAGTATGGCCTTGGAAAATCAGCTGTATATGACATAAGAAAAAAGAAAAGGGAACTTTTTCTGAATTCCAACACTTCACTCGCAATGAATAACAGAAAAACTGTTCATTATGCTAAGAGTGACGATCATGACAAAGTGATGATTGAATGGGTCAGACAGCATCGCAGCGAGGTCGTGCCATTGACGGGTCCAATGCTAATGGCTAAAGCCAAAATATTTCACAAAGAAATTACCTTAAAAACTGAGTGCACATATTCGACAGGTTTGTTAACCAAATTTAAAAATTGCCATGGTATAAGGCAATTAAAAATTTCAGGTGAAAAAGCTTCAGCTGATACTGAAGCTGCAGATGAATTCATTGAACTCATTACTAGTGAACAATTATCTCCAGAACAAATGTACAATGCTGATGAAACTGGCCTTTTCTGGCACCGTACCGTAAAATACTTTGGCAACCTCTATAGAAAAGACTGTAACTGGTGTCAAAGATTCCAAAGTGACACAATTTTAGCGTGTGCAAATGCTGCACGAACTCACAAGTGTAAACTTTTCATAATCGGAAAATAACCTTGAGCATTTAAAGGAGTAACAATTTTCCCTGTTATATATCATGCAAATAAAAGAGCATGGATGACACAAGCATTAATGAATGATTGATTTGAAAATCATTTTATACCCAAGGCTCGGCAACATTTGAATTCGGTTGGTTTACCTGATGACTCAAAAAATAGTCCTGATTGTAGACAACTGTTCGGGTCATAATTCACTTAGTTTTAGTGAAAGATAATGTATCCATATTATTCTTCCCTCCAAATTGTATGTCCGTCATTCAGCCTATAGATATGGGTATAGTGTGCATGCTGAAATGCAAATATTAAGTAGCATTTTTTAAATCCATGTTAAATTTCTTGAACAATGGCAAGACTATTCAAGAATTTTTGAAATATTTTAGCATAAAATATGTTGCATGGAGCATTGCAAGATAGTGGGAGGATGTGTCTCCAGATATGTTACAAAATGCTTGGCATAATTTATGGCCAGCTAGCATATTTCATGGTGAGGACAATGAAGATGATAGGCGCAAATTTATAGGTTTTTCGGATATCGCAAACTAAAGATGAAATTTTCCAGTTAATGAATTTTGTAAAGAAATGTGGAGAAGTGGTAATAAATGAAGATGATATAACAGAAGTTTTTCATTGCGATGACAATGTCCCAATCATCAATCAGTTAGTGGACGCTGAAATCTGTAGTACGGTTCTAGATCCAGAAAATACCACTATCGATAGTGAAGAAAGTGACAGAGGGGTTATTGAAAACAAAAAAAAAATTTCGATTGACAAGTTAGTCGGTATTCTCAACACAGCAATTACTGAACTTGAACAGTGGAATTTTGTAACTCGACAAGAAATTATGTCTGCTTATAGAATTAAAGAGAAAGTATTAGCACAAAAAACGAAGCAACTTAAACAACCTACATTGAAAGAAATGTTAAATAAAGTAAACAAATAAATATTAAGCTTTTTTTTTGTAAATTTTGATACTCTTTAGCTCATAAATTCTTTTTATTTTATAAATTATGATTTCATATTTTAATTGTATAATTTCTGCATGCCATCTTACTAGATTTAAATTGATGATTTAATATCCGGAAAAATCCCAAATCTGGAATCGCTGGAATGAAATATGTTCTAAATTACAAGAAGCTTTTTAGCTTGTGTAATGATATCTTTCATATCCAAAAATGTATTTGCAGTATAATAAATTTTTTAAAATTTATTATAATAAATTTTTTAAAATTTATTTTGATTTATTTTAAAATTATTATATTATAAATTTTTAAAAATTTATTTCGAATTTGAGTAGCTTTTCTAATAATTTAATACTATAACTTAACAGTTCAGACTTCCATGCAATTTATTTTTTATCCAATTGAGAAGGGGGAAAGTAAAAGAGAAAAAAACCATGAAAACATCCAATGTGGCCAGCCTGTTCGGTATGATTTGAACCCTGGACCGAACTACCAGTGTTAAAAAAATTTTACCGCTCGGTCACTGGTGGGTATTTTAGATTTGAAGGAGGAAAGAGAAACAAGGTCTTTCCCTTCTGTTCTAACCTACACAGTCTATATTTTAACATTCTTCATGAAAAAAATTTTTTAACTGAAAATTTCTTAAAATAGTAGGCACCTGTATTACATAAAATGTGCTACTGTAGATGCACTCAATATCACAAAATTAATTTCACAGGCTAGTTTCAGTTTCCAAAAAGAATCTGCAATAAATAATTCCTAGACTTGCTTTGGATAGACAATTTTCGAATTAGGCCCACTGCATTATTTCTGTTTTCCCTCCCGTAATTTGGCTATAATTTCGAAGGCGATCACTGGCATTTATCGACCTTATTTCTAAAGCAAAAGCATAGTATATAAAGTTTTACAAAATAATGTTAAAGACAAAATTTGGCATGAACACTAGAGTTTCTTATATTGAATAAGCATTCAAACACTAACATGTAAAGAAGATAATTTCATAATGTTTACCTTTTGTATTCTTATTAAAAACAAAGGGAAAAAAAAGAAAGTTTATACTGAGTATTAAATTTATTCTGATAACCATAAAAAGTAAAAGAAGTGAAAAGTACAAGATTTTATAATAAAAAGGAATCATTTTTAGTTTTATATTTAATTTTATTTGCTATAAAACTTACTTCATTATAGAATGATGAGTAAAGATGAACATAGAAGTTTTTAAAAAAATACTGACACTCATACTCGGAAAAAGAAGAGGAGTCTAGTTTGAGTGAATAGCGAACAGTTAATTCTAAAACCTCACCTTACTGTGCATTAGCTAAATTTCAATATAAAGTTTACAAAAGTGAAATTAATTTCCACCTCTCTACGAGATCCCCAAACCGTTTGTGAACAGGAAAAGAAATTCCTATCAACCATGACATGGCCATTGCAAGATTTCATTGCCAGAACTACTAGCAGCCATTACAGGGTTGAGAGGGTTAATGTCTGTTACAGGTACTAAGGCTTTATTGGACTAACAGTCTTACAAGGAACATAAAGCTTGAAGTCACATGCAGCAATAACAAGCTTATTAACATGCAAGATACAACAGCTGCATCAATCAGGATTGACAAAAAGCAGAAAATCACACAGAGGTAGCTCATAATCACATGAAGTCCCCCATTTCAAGAAGCTCCTAAAATCATTAATTTCCTTTAAAAACCAATAAACATATCCTCTGCCTTAAGATGGTAGGTTCTCAAAAGAGCAAGGTAGGAAATAGCCTCTAACAAAGCATTTGTTTCTAATACAATAAATGGGGGATTACAAAATGTTGTGTGAAAAACCTCTAAACAGCCACATAATACTTGGCAAGCTTCGTTAATTGGCGTATTTAACCCTATTTGATTTATTCTAAGAGATTTTGACAAAAATACTGTCTACCAGATAAAGGGTCTTTAATCTACGTAAGTCCAAGCAGCAGACACTATAGTTACAATTGCACCAAATATACTTTAGGCAAAATGAATTACTTCAACTACCACCAAGGCCTTTGCTGCCGTATTATTGGTGAGCACAGTGAAATTAATTCAGACAACTGTAGCTACAAGAAATCTCAGCCTGCACATTTTCTGCTTTCATGTAATGTTTTCTGTCCCTTAACAGTCCCTTCAAATTTAGAAAAAGCTTCTTGGCAGATCTTCAAATGATTTAAAGATGAAAAATAATTTAATAATTTTAGTACAATTTAGAAAATATGGGGGTGGGGGATGAAATCAATCTGATCAATCTGGAAATTATTTGAAATTCACAAAATGTTCAATAATCTCCCAATAATCTCAGAAATTTGTGTCACAAGAAAGTTGCTACCTTATGCACTAAGATTGGTGTTATAATATCCAGTTGTAAGATGTTTTTTGAAAAACAAATCTGGACACTCGAAGAAAGTACTTACGGATTACTTACTTGATAAAAATTTCTGCAGCTAAAGATGCATATTTAGCCTTTTTTTCATGTGATATATTTTCTAATGATTCCAGTCGCATAAAAGCTGCCGAACAAGTAGCAAAAGCTCTATTTGCACAACTTGCTAATGCTAGAATAAAAAACAAGTGCTTTCACATTGACTAAAAAAAAGGTTCATAAAATAATACAGAAATAACTCATAAATTTGAGAACAAAACAAAGCAATTTTCTAATTGCATGACATATGAATAATTTTCACTGTTTTGATTTTAAAACATTCAAGCAGTATAATTATCAATAACAGTTATTTTATTCCAAATTTCCCATTTTCTCCTGCCTTAATTTTCATTCATTACAAAGCTTCTCAGCAGGTTTATAGATTTAGTTGATTTTTTTACAATAGGAAATACATATGGACTTAAATTGTGAACAAAATAGCTACAGATTTATTAAATACAAGAGTACTTTAATTTACACTATCTCTCTTAAGCAGTTGTTTTACACATATTAGACACCCAGATAAGAAGGGATCACACAGCTTAAACCTCAATCATGTAGAATGTCCTATGTATCTTGTAGTTCTGTATTCAGAAATACAATCAACAGAATTCCTAATTAATTTTTTAAAAAAGGCAAAAAGTTATTTAAAAAACAATCTAGGGCTGAATTTTTTTCAAATGTTAAAATAAATAAATTTGATGAAACATTTGTCAAAACAAGAACATTCGCAAAACGTTATCATAAAACATTTCAACTACCTGATTTTCAAAGATATTTTAGTCTCTGATCAAGTCAAATATGCTTTTAAATCAGAAAACAATTGGAGTGCTTCCTTTCAAAAAATGCAGGTCAAACTTTTCTCATAGTACTATAACTTCCCCTAAAACTTTCTTTCTAGCTGGAAACTACCTGTTGTGCTTGCCAAAATAGCCAGGATGTAACACAATACATGAGTAAATGTAACAATTTTGTTATCCAGAAACATGACTTTTATGTACAAATATTTACACGTTGATGATATTATATGATTTAAGAAAATAACTCCAATGAAATACATATGTTCAATACCTTACAAATTAAACCAGCCCTATTGGCTAAACTTGAAATTCCCACTCAGGCGTAAATGCCCTACCACACGTTCTGCAGACAACTCTTGTCTGTCTCTCTTGATTCCTATCGTGAGAGAGGCAGCTGATTGGCTGACTGCAGCCAGATACATGACACTACCATTCCAGCATTTCCTCTATTTTGAAAATGTGCCAACAAATATAACAAATATTATTAGTGCAACTGAAACATGCAGATTCATTAACATATCATGTGTCTAATGCTTTGTACATTATGTGAAAATCAAATTGTAAACCAATGTTAGAATGCAATGCATACTCTAAACTTCTTCAATATATTATACATTTAAAAATAGCCAACTACTATCTAATGACAGTTCTACCCTCTCAGCTGTCATTTAATGCACTACTATTTTCTAAGGTGAGGAAAAATTCAATATCAAATGGACTATATTATATGTCTTTACACACACACACACACACCAGTGGCTGAATGGATAAGAAATCCGAGCAATGGAAGTTCATCTTTGTTTTGTGTCCAGTAGCTACACACACAAATGTGTAATTGAGACATCCATTGTAGCCCTTCTATAATAAAAAACTTAACTTTAAACTTCCGGGGATGTTATCTGCATCATGGCACATTCAGATGTGAGAAACAAATAGCTTAATAAGAAACAAACCATTATACTGGTGCAGATTTTGAATAAAACTACTGATTCTGGGGGCGATCAGATACAGATCACTCTTCTTCAAGATTATTTTTACTTCTGAAGAAGAAGGACTTACTTAAGCGATGAACATATTTTTAAGTGAATTAATTTTCAAACTTCAGACCAAATAATATTCATTCATTGATTTTAACCTACCTTTATATTAAACATGGCAATTTATGAAAAACCTAAATACTGTCCAAACTTAAAATTTTCTAACTGCAGTTTAATGTACGTTTTAATTCATACTAACGAATAAAATTTTGATCAGATGTGACCAACAAAATTATTTATGTTTTAAATTTTACTGATTGCACTGAAGAGAACAGCATATACTTGCATGCAATAATGTGGTGCATGCATACAGTTTTCTTTCCTAAAAATCACATCAATCTCAGGTAAAATAATTCATTTAATATAACAGCTCCCAAACAATGCAAAAGCATTTTCTAAACTCTCTTATCTTTCAATGCTTAGTAAGATTTAAAAATTTAAAAATTAAAATTTTGTAATTTTTATTACTTTGTCAATAAGAAACAAATTTATTATTTTATACAACTTAAGTTTTTTAAATATACATTTAATGAATTTTAAAAATGTTAATATTATAAAAAATATTCTATAAGGTTAAAGATAAGTCACAGGGTATCTTACGTCTAATATTATGTAAAATATCTCACTCATTCACTATTAAAAGCTATTTTTAACTAATATCACATTTACATACTTAAGAAAGCAGGGAAAGTTTTGATTTACAGCACACATTTATATAAAAAAATCATGCATGTTTTAATTAATAAAAGTTTATTGTTTATCTACAAAATATACTTTTTTGCAATATATATGGTTTTAATTATCCTCATTATATATATATTTTAGAGCAATTTTGAGAATTTGAGCATCACAAGCAATGAGGTGAAAAATACTAAATACTTTTGTACCTAAAAGGGAGTAAATATCTTCAGGATTCAAAATATCTTCATATTCCCTGAGATGCAAAGCTGTTTTCATAGCTGCATCCATATAGCCTTCAAAACGAAAATTAGTATGTTAGAAGGAAGCCACAATAAATATACAGATTTTGCATCCTATTCCGAAACAGATTATCGCCTTTTAATATCAGAGATTATGATAAAATGACTGGGATATTACAGACTTAACATATTTTTTTCATATTAAACTTGGCATGAAATATCTAAAAGAAAATAAAACTACTTTACTGCAAAAGGAAATTACCTTTCTTCTAACTGCAATTATTAAATAATGGCAAAGTGGGATCATCAAGAAACATGAAATTTAGTAGAAACTATTTTACACATCACTGGAAAACTATCATTTACTTTTTGAACACGTGTACACTCATTTTTTATTTTCTATGTCTTCTGTTATTTAGTCAAAGTAATTAACCACCAAAGTTTTGTACAATAGAGATCCTTTCTGCACAAAATTTAGGCATTTTGTTCTAAAGAGAAAATCAATATGAACACATGAGCAGTAACTAAAAAATGTCAGTTAAAAAATTATTCAGAACTGTATAAATAGCCCTGCAAACCCACCTCACATTTAAACTGACAATGTTAAAGCAATTCAGCAGTGGGGGGGGAAGCTTTTATTTTAAAATTCATTCACAGGAACTTCTAAAATGCACTGCCATACAACAATTAGCAAACCTGTCTTATTTTAAAAAGTTGCAAACTACATTTGAAATGTGTTATTACACATTTCTTAACATCAGCTTTTATTTTTTGATTTCAGATTTCATTTATATTAGTTGCAGTTAATTGAAAAATATATTTGAATATGTTTAAATGAAAATATGCTGCTATCATCTTGTTAGATCATTGTGACACTGTTCATTTGTAGCTCAGCAGTTGTGAGGGCTACATAAAACAAAGTTTGTAAAATGAATATTATTATCATCAATGGTTTCATGAGCTCTATGACACAAACTACCATTCAATTGATGACCACTTACCATTGGTAAAAACTGAATTTTTCTGTGACACAGTGCACATATTCACGGCTCCTATTTAAAATTTAACTGGACAGAAGCTACAGAAATCACCAAACTGAATCTTCCTCCCCCCACCAAAAAATTAAGTTAGACACCAAAAGGTGCTCCTTATGAACTAACTGATTCAATTCCAGGTCATTTGTTGATGAGCAATAATTATGATGACTCAAGTTAATACAATGTAGATTTTTATAAACTCTGTCTCAGACATTAATTCTAATTAAATCACTTTATTTATTGTGAATAAAAATATTTAAGACACCTGCAACTGAAATTTTAGTGTAATATACAAATAAGCAAACATTATTTCATAGATTAAAACATTTACATTTAAATGATTTTAAAAAAAATATTGTTGTTGAAAATTTATGTCAGTGATTGTTAAGTGCTATGTAGACAAAAAGGTTGTTATCAATTTAAAATCTTTATAAAAAATTAAATTTTATTTGCATATAGGAAAATACTCTTCATTTTCTGAATGATCCTTTTATTTTGATACAGTTTTCTCACCTTGATATAGATGCTTCTGAGCAAGCATGAAGAAATGATAAGCCTTAGCACCTCTCCAGGGATCATCAATTAAATAAGGAGCAATAGTTTGGAGAGATACTTCTTCTTCCATAATTTTGCCTAAATCATTTATCTAAATTAAAAACAGAGAACACTGTTAGTATAAGAAAGCTAATCCACAAATAAAACAATGAAAGAACAAAATATTTCTTTCTTGTAATCAAATTCTTTTCTTTAATGACTTTAATGTCTGTAAATGACATCTGCAAAAGAGGTTAACTTCTAGGGCTAATTCCACATTTCTCATAATTTGGCTTATAAATGTTTTATATAACCTTACATCATACTGAGATAGTTTTGCAATATAGTAGCAAATACCTTAAAAAAGCACAATTATATGCTGGCATACTTATGAAAATTTTGTCCTTGCTGAGGTGTGTGTACAATTATGGCAAAGCCCTGAGGGCTATCTGCCTAAAGGGACAGATGCCTTCGTGGAGGACTTTCTAAGGAAAACTGGCTCGTATACAAGTTACACATGGGGAAAACCACAAAAACGCCCATGCAGCCAGCCTGTTCGCGGAATTTGAACCTCGGACCGAACTACCAGTGTTCAGCAACTTTACCGCTTGGCCATTGGTGAACTTGTCCTTGCTGACCGGTGGCAATCCCCTACCTTTAGGGGCTGCCTAATGCAATTTTTCAGCAGGATAACGCCCGACCACACACTGCTCACATCTGCCAACATGCTCTGCAAGGTATACAGATGCTTTCCTGGCCACCGTACTCTCCTGACTTGTCGCCAATCGAACATGTGTGGAATGTGATTGGGTGCCGTTTGCAGACTCTGCCCCTGCCTCATTCGGAAGACGAACTGTGGCAAATGGTTGAAAGGGAATGGAGAGCCATCCCTCAGGACACCATCTGCACTCTTACTGAATCTATGCCTAGACGTGTTTTTTTTTTGTGCATCGCTGTCCGCAGTGGTCCTACATCCTACTGAGCCGACGCCGTTCTCACTCTGTATTCTGACTATCATTTTGAAATAAAGATCACTTATTGCTGCTTGCTGTCTCTGTCTTTTTTCCAAATTTCATCACTTTCTGGCCACTCCTTCTTGGCGTTGCATTTTCAATGTCGAGCAGTGTATATACAAAGCCTCAAGGTTTGCCGAATTCGCCTCATGCAAAGATTTCCGGTTTCGGATTCCGGTGTTAGAATCACTGATGCTGTAAAATTTCAAGAGCTTTTCTTTATTTTTCAGTATATCATACACAATCATGTCGCAATTCCATACAATTCTGCTATAAACCGAGGAGCACATTTCTTATAGTAATTTACTCATGGTTTCTTTTGATGTAAAATCATTATTCACCAATGTCCCAGTGGAGGGTGCATTAAGATGTCTAGAAACCAGACTTCGTGAATTTCATTTCTCTTGCATCGAAATTGATGAGCTAATTTCTCTCACTCAACAAAATGTGTTTGTAAGCAAACTGAGGGATTAACCATGGGAAGCCCCCTCAGTCCCATCCTGGCTGATATCTGCATGCATTATTATGAATCAAAATTGTTTGAAACTTTAAACTTCCCGGCATGGTTCTGCTATGTAGACGATACTTTTACCCTGTTTGAAGGTAATAAAGATGATTTAAATAAAGTTCTTTCAACAATGAATTCTATTGATCCTGCTATTCAGTTCACTTTTGAACTTGAGACTTGCAATTCTCTTCCGTTTCTCGACATTCTGGTCACACGTAACACATCCAACTTCAGTACTACAGTTTACCGTAAACCTTCATCGGTTTGCCTTCACACTTTAAATCATGTCATCCGACTAAACAAAAGTTAGCTTCATTTTATTCCTATGTTTTCCGTGCTCTTCAAGTTTGCTCCTCCAAACTAGCCCTTGATGAAGAACTAAATTATTTAAAAGCAATAGCTATTGACAGGGGCTTTTCACCCAACATTATTAATCAAGCAGTTAAAAAATTCTCATTTCAACACACTAAAAGGCACACTCTTGTTTTAGGAGATTATAAAAATTATGTTGTCATTCCCTTCTTTCCATCAATTAGCTATAAAGTTGCACATATTTTCCAGAAATTTAACTTTCGGGTTGTTATTCTCCCATCAATAAAATTCCGAGTTCCATGCTCAAGGACCTCATTCCGGATATGAATTCCTGGGGTATTTATAGGATTCCTTGCCAGTGTGGTTTAATTTACATTGGCCAAACTAAAAGAGCCTTAAAATTTCGCATCAAGGAACATGAGGCATATGTTAGAAAAAAGGAAACACAGAAGTCTTCTGTTGCTCAACATTGTTGGTCCGAAAATCACACTTTCAATTTTTCTGCTGCCAAAATTATTCAAAAAACATCTTCCATTCGAGAACTGAATTTTTAGAGGCATTTCACATTCATAAAAATCTTTCTGTTCTAGTTAACGATCCTAATTCCAACCCAAATTTGCCTTTGCCCTTTAAAGAAATTATGTTTTAATTCTGGTTTCACCAACAGATGGCGCCACTTGCTTATTCTTGTCCAGGCTTTCTTATCTTATCTAATCATTATTTCCTATCTTGTTCATTTGCGGTTTTGCAGCTGAAGATGGTGGTTCGGTAAAACCATCGAAACTAGTCCTATGAAAATTTTGTAAATATAATGCTGATTTTTGTTTTTTGACTTGTGAATTAGTATTTATTCGGCGTGTTATTGTGTCTTAATAAACAAATTTGTCAGGCAAATGAATTGTTCTCCTTATGTACAAAATGATCTGTTTTGACTTTAAAAATGCCAGAGAACTGCACAAATTTGGCATCACATGCAATTTCAGCACTGCACACATTAAACACCTTCTAAAAATACATTACCCTAATTATATATTATCACCCAATTGTTCATGATGCAATATTAATAAATTACCACATTTAACATATATTTGCAGTGTCTCATTAATAAAGTAATACCCTTTTCATATTTAATTTTACTTTTATATGCATCTATAAAAATAAGATCATTCAGTGATAAGATCATTTTTAAAAATCAAAAATGTATTTGAATTTTAAAGAATTTGATAATTGTAAGCAACTTTTCAATGCTGTTAGTTTCATTTTTAACATATTCTACAAACAAATGTTATTTAGCATCAAGCAGACAGTGAATAAAATTTGTTTGCAGCAACAGACAGCATATTTTTTTGCATCTACTTTAGCAAAAATGGGAAAAATTAGACAAGTAATATAATGGTAATAATAATGCTGAAATACAAAAGAATTTTATCCTACGTGTATGACTTACATCTCTCTGTAACACATAAAAATTATACTGTTTAGAATACCAAAAGTGCAACGATAATAATGATACTGAGACACAAACCGAATAAAATGAAAAACAGTTTAATGACTGGCACAAATGCCTGATGTTACCATTAAAGTAAACCCCTATGTAGTACGTTTCAACATTTGCTACGGTAACATGAAACCAATCACACATTTGCAATATACTTCCTCAACATCTTACACAAATGAAAGTAAAGGAATCTAACAGTAACAAAGCTATTATGAACAATACATTAACAATAAAACATAAGTCTTACTCATATACAGGGTGTTTAATAGATCATGGGAAAAACTTGGAGGGGTGGTGGAGCGTACTAAAACATGCATTTTTTTATAGGAATGTAGGGTCTGAAGTGATGTGGTTAAGGCAGGAACGCAAAAAAATGACACGAGAGGAAAATGTGCTTATGTACGAAATCAACACAAAGTGCTTCTTTGTAGCAATACAGTATTCACAATAAATGTTCAAAATTGCAACCACCAGCAGTAATACATGCTTGGTAACATAGCAGAAGGGATTGACGTACATTTTGAAAAACGACAGGCATTTCACGCACGCTTGCAGCCGCAATGGATAATCGTGCGACGAGGTCCTCCAGTGACTCATAGGGAGTTTCGTAAATGATGCTTTTCAGATGGCCTCATAAAAAAAGTCCAAGCTGGATAAATCTGGCGAACGGGGTGGCCATCGAACGGGTCCACCCCGGCTAATCCATCAGCCCGGAAATGTCCCATCCCAGTAATTGCAGACCTGCACGTGGTTACGGGCTCGTGGCACAATCATGCTGGAACCACATGCGATCACGAACGACAGCCGGAACATCCTGCAGCAATTTCAGTAGCACCTCTTGCAGAAAAATATGATAACATAAGCCATTTGTATGTACAGGTAAGAGGTATGGGCCTATGAGGTAGTCGTTAACAATACCCGCCCACACATTCACAGAGAAGCGAGTTTGGAATGCATGTGCACGTGTACCGTGTGGATTACGAGTTGCCCACACGTGCATGTTGTGGCTATTGAAATGCCGTCCTGTGAGAAAGTTGCCTCGTCCGTGAATAGCACATCCGATGGAAATCCGCCTGCGCTCCACACTGCTGCAAGAACCAATGACAAAAATTAACTCGAAGAGGGTAATCTGTCTCTTGCAAGGCTTGGACTCTATGCAAATGGTGTGGGTGCAAACCATTTTCAAGCAATACTCTCCAAACGGTGGAATGACTCAGCTGCAGACGACGTGCAATAGCTCTTGTACTTGTCTGAGGCGATTCATGCACAATGCTCAAGATGGATTCTTCAATGCGAGGTTGTCGTGCATTTCTTATTCCATTCCTAGAGTCAGAGGTGGCTTCAAATGACCCGTTTTTGCACAGAGACTGATGCAAACTCTCAAACATTGTGTGCTTCGGCATACGCCTGTTCGGAAACCGTTCCTGGTACAACTGTAGCGCTGCTCTGTCATTCCCATTAGCAGCACCATACATGAGATGCATGTCAACTTTTCCCCTGTGCTTAAACTCACCCATCACGCTTGACATCAGAGTTGCAAATGATCCTCTGATGCATCGGATCGTGGTTTGTCCAACTCACTACTGCCCTCTACCGCTGCAATGCCAGCCAATCACAGCTGTAGTTCCTATTACTGTTAGTGTTCCCTTTTTGAACATTTATTGTGAATACTGTATGGCTGCAATGAAGTACTTTGCATTGATTTTGTACATACCTCTCGTGTCGTTTTTTTGCATTCCTGCCTTAACCTGTCGCTTTAGATCCTACATTCCTATACAAAAAATGCATGTTTTAGTATGCTCCACCCCCCCTCCAAGTATGTTGCATGATCTATGAGACACTCTGTACATTTTTTTATACTCATGGTTGGTACAGCAGAATCCTGCAAACTCGACTCCTGATATCTCAACATTCCGTGTAACTCGGACAACGTTTTATGAACTCATTTCAGATATCTCTACTCCAAACAGAGCAAATATTACATACAGTACATATAATTATTATTTACGCACATGTCTTTCTTGTTCTGTTGAAAGACTTCAGTGTTCTTTTTCTGTAATTTTTGCTGTTTTTGCACTGTACCATTAATTCTTGGAATTGACTAACAAATTTCAAGATATATACTTGGCAATGCTGTTTGTTTCTTTTGAAAATATGATGAATGTCAGGTTACAGCTGGCTGCTGGCTCACATTGCCTTCTATCGCTACTTGTTTGAAGTTCTGTGACTTCCATGTTATTGCAAACTTACTCCAGTTCATTGCAGGTATCATACCTTAGTTCACATCCAGGCGTATAAGTATTACATACTTTTTGGGAAATTTTGATATTCTGTGAAGAGAAGTGAAAATGTCATTCAAAGAGAAAACTAATGTGACAATGGAAATGACACTAAATGTCTTAAAGAGACTGGAAAAGGAGAAGTGTAAACAAAATTACCATGGATTTAGGTGTTGGACGGACTACTTTGATAGGGTGAAAAAATAAAAGGTCCGAAATAGGGTCTTGGTGAGTGAAAAGAGCATGCATGGATTGTTTAAAGGAAAGGTATGAAAGGGGATGAATACAAAAAAGTGAACGAGGCACTTATTAGTGGTTCAGGCAGTGAAGGGAACAGAAAACACCAATTTCAGAACCAATTTTAGAAGAGAAAGCCCTAAAATTTTATGATGAATTTCAAGGACAGCCTGGATTTACTGCTAGTGCTGGCTGGCTCAACAGATGGAAAACACAGTACAGCATCAAGCAATAAGTGGGGAAAAGCTATCTGCTAACTTGGAAAATGTTGCAATACTCAAAGATAATTTCCCCAAACTAATTGAAAAGGAGGGTATATCTGGAGATCAAATTTATAATTGTGATGAGACTGGTCTGAATTTTTGAATGCTGCCTTCGAAAACGCTGGCATCCAGGGAAGAAAAGTTGGCACCTGGCTGCAAAAGAAGCAAGAAGAGAGTCACAATCTTGGCATGCAACAGGCAGCAACTGGGGCTTATAAGCAAATTAAAAAATCCTTGAACATTTAAAAACATAAAAAAAAGTATACTAATGGGACCGAAAGCAACTATAATCTTCTTATTAGGTACTGGAACCAGTCAAATGCATGGATGAAGAGAGCAATATTTAATGCTTCGTTTCATCAGCAGTTCGTTCCATTGGTGGAAAATATTTTTAAATAAAAAAAAAATCTACCAAGGAAGGCGATTCTCATTCTAGACCAGCAGTCATCAACCCTTAGAACTTCACGGACCACTACATATATAATTTTATATTTGGTGGACCACTAATACGAATGAAAAAAAAAAAAAAGATAAATACATTTATACAATAATAATCAGCAAACAACACATATTTCGTTCACATTGAAAAACTACATGAAAAGTACAAAAATCTTACCTTCTTGTACAGAAAGCTTGACATTTCCATATCACTGAAAAGGAACTTCAGGAAAAGCAAGAACAAACCTTCAAACGCAAGGCAATATCAATAAACTGACAGTTTTATGCCGCCTATTTTTAATTATTGTAAACATAATAATCATCACTTACTTAGCAATGGCGCCATCGATCAACAGTTAGACTAAACAAAAACGGAAACTTCCAGGGATGCAATTATAAACAAGAATGCAGATGGTTCTTACAAAAATCCATCAAGATATCTATTGACACAGAGAAATGCTGTGTTATTAATGAGCACAATAGCATATGTTTGTAATGCAAAAAGAAAGATAATTCCAGTTTGCACTATTACTGATAACAGCAGCATATCCATGGATGCCAACTCTCACTTTCAAATGTCGCTAAATACACTTGCAAAGTCGCTAAATTCAAAAGGAATTTTGCTAAAAGTAGTAGCTAAAATTTTAAAAAAAAGTATAATCAATATTCTATAATAGGTTTTGTTACTCCTCATTTTTCAAACTGAATCTTCACAAAAATATAAATAATATCCCAACTTGTCTGCACACCATCAAAATGTTTTCACCAATCACCAATGGTCCGTGGACCACCGGTTGGCAACCACTGTTCTAAACAATGCCTCATCCCATCCTGATGCAGAACAGTTATGAGACGAAGATACAAGAGGCATGTTTCTCCTTCCCTATGTAACTTCAGTGTGTCAGCCAATGGTACAGGGTGTTTTGGAGGCACTAAAGAGAAAATACAGATGTAAACTTCCTTCATATCATGTCCTAGCTCATTTTTGGAGTGAGATCGAGCAGATAAGCCTCGCTTGTTCCTGCAGAAAATTGCTGGATCATTCAGGAAATAAATTTCATGAAAGCAGAGAAGAGATAGAAAATTATAAAAATTTTAGGCTGCGAAGAAGTTAGTGATAGTGATGTTGAAGAATGGATGGGATAAGGTAAAAATTGTGAAATTTTAGGACATGCAGGAGTAGTTGCACTGGTGAAAGACAATGTAGATAAAAAAAGATGAATCAGAAAACGAAGAGACTGAAGACAACAAAAAAGCTAAAATGATGACCCATAGTGAAGGACAAAAGGCCGCTGAAGGAACACTCTGTTACATGGAGGAGCAAGGTGCATCTGGTATGGTCATTTTGTTTCTCCGTCACCTATGGAAGGAAGCTGCACAATAACAGAATGAGTGTGAGAGACAATCTACCATTACACGATATTTTTCTACCAAGAACTACTAATAATGTTTCTTCATTTTTTGTATGTAAGTTTTTCACTCAGTTTACTACTCTTAGGGTATTTGTTCAGTTTATGACTTCTTATTGTGCTAGAACCTGACATAAAAAAATCAACACTAACTTAATTGTATGCTGTACTTCTGAAAGAGAAGAGTTCTGAAAAATCCACCCCTTATTCAGTAAGCGTCAACAGTCCACATCATGTAAAGTTTGCGGGACTCTGCTATACTGTGTCAGAAAGAGTGCACTAGGCACATTTAAGCTGCTATATTTCACTATATTATAACCACTCTCAGGGCATTTCACAATTTACATAGTGCTTGTTTAACTTTTACACAATATTTTGGTCTGTGGTTATTTTCAGATATAAATGACATAACTGCATTTCCCTAACCGCTGTAATATGTTAAAAAAAAAAAAAAAAAAAAAAAAAAAAAAAAAAAAAAAAAAAAATATTAAAATAACCATTTATAATTTCAAAACAACTTACATCATTCCTATCAAAAGTTGTAACTTTCCGATTAGCTTTGTACTCTTCCACGAGAATTGCAATCAAAACATAAATTTTCCTTAAAAGCAAGGGGTCAGTAAGTTTTTCGGGTATTTCCTTCACAAACTGAAAATATATTAAATTTAGCATGACATAAATATTAGTACTATATTAAATAGATACAGAAAATAAATATTAGCAAAAAATACCTTATATAATACAAGGGCAGCATGCAAAAATTTGCAAGCTTTCTTGTAGAGTTCAACAACGGTAAATATGGATTTCTCTTGCTTCAAGTAGACAGCATATTGTGAAAGAAGTGAATCAACATCTTTGATATCATATTTTTGAGCCAAACCAATTGCCATTCTCCACTGATTCAGTTTTGTGCAGCATTCAATAGCAGCATTCAGTTTGTTACACTACAAATAAAAGAAAAAATATTTTTAATAACTGCAGATCTCACAAAAAAAAAGCATTTATTAGTCTCAAAGCTTAATGACATAGTAAAAAAGACCCCTTACAAAGGAAGTCTTCTAAACTTTCAGTTGTTCTTAAAAACACACAAGAATCTAAACATGGTGTTTTGATCACCAAACATGAACCTTTAGAAGAGTTTGATCACCAATACCAAACATTCTGATAAGTTTCATTTTCATCAAATCTTCGAACAACTGCTGCACTATCAAAAATATTTAGATTTCTATAGTTTCAATTTCCTATTCACAATGATTTAGTAGGCGACCTTTTTTTAAACCGTTATATACTTCTAAATGAGAAAGAGCATTTGTAACTATTTTGTTACAGACTGTTGTTACTACTATAATCTATAACATGATTTATGTTCCAGATTTTTTTCAAGCTGCAAGTAACTTTATTTCCAATAACTTCATTTTAACTTCCTTACTGTAAAATACTTAATAACTTCCAAAAATGCATGCAGTACAAAAAAAATTTAGTTTAATGTATTGGAAATATATCTATTAACTTCCATACCTCTTAAGCAAACATTTCTGCTTCGAAGAAATGCAGACATGCACTAGCAGGAAAATTAAAGGAAATTAAAGGATATAAAATGCGATTTAATTCGATTATTTGAAGTCCAATGAAAGGTAAGTTGTCAATATTATCACATAGTCAATGGGATTTGCCCTTGTTTACACAAAAACGTGCTAATTTATGCCGCTTCCCCATTCTTTCAACAAATAAGGGGAGGAGTTCAAAAGCATTCTTCCAATTCTAATTTCAAACACTATATGCTGGTCAAAATTTTTACATGTGGAAGGTGAAACATGTTATTGAGACAGGGTTCATAGCCACATTTTAGTTAAAAAAATAAGCACCTATAAGCACTTTTCAAGCACATTTTAAGGAAAAAAATAAGCACCTGCCTAATTACGTCATACACAACTGCATAACCTTAAGAATTAGACTTGTAATTTAAAATATGAGAAATGAAGTACTTATTAAGAGAGAATAAGCATTACCTCAACCATGGAAAATAATTACTTTTTTTTGTTTTTAATTTTAAATAATAGTTCAATTTACAGAACTAGTTTACAATGAGAGGGGGAAAAAAAAACTATGAAGATCTAAACTATATTACAAGATTTAATGATGAAATTTCAGTTCAAAATAGAGAAAATAAATAATAATAAGGTATATTTATTGTATTCGCTTGGAACCTAATAATAAATACAATTTATTTTTCCACTCATATTGATATTTAAATAATTTAAATCTAAATTCTGAACATTTTCTAAATTTTCATTGTATATCAGTTTTCTCTTAACAGATATTGCAAGCAAAATAATTTAAGTAAAAAAGAGGAACATTTTTGTAATCAGAAGACAGACATTTGCTTCATGCAGTCATCTTTAACAGTAAAAGCTTAACTAACCCGCATACTTGGAAATTGGCGAATATTCGGACAGTCGAGCGTAACTTGAAGGAGCAGAGTGGGGGGGTAGACTGTAAATTATGCTCTTTAAGATTAAAGAGCTCTGTTATGCTCTTTAAGATTTTTCCGCTAAATAAATGCTTTTGACATTTCAATATGTGCATCATATAAAAATAAACCAACGGAACTAAAAAATATTCTGCTTAGCAAACACAGTAAAACTCTTTTAAAGTGTTCATAAACAAATATCGGACTGAACATCAAAATTAATTATCTCTGCAAAATATCGCAAACGTTATTGCGCAATACGTGCGCCGTATTCTTCCCTACGTGATATTACGCAATCGGAATCAACAACTGCCGGTATTGGAGAAAATAAAGAACTAAATAACTGGGGTGATTTTCATTCTAATTTTCAACAGACGGCGTTAAATTTCTGGAATAGAATCATTCTTCGCTTGGGTTGGTAGACTGCAGAACTTTTAGTCCTATTCAATCCAGATTGGAAAGTGTGTCCCCCCCCCCCCCCGAAAAAAAAGGTCATTGCTTGTTTTGCAGCGAACTGTAACAGTTTCAATATTCAAGATTTTGTGGAGAAAGGGGAGACCTCCCAACCTTCGTACTGTATAATGTAGTGGCCAAAAAATTAAATTATTTTGACTATTCGATTACTTTCCCTTTATTTAAGCCATTCCGAATATTATTCCTTAGAAAGCTAATCTGTGTTAAAACACAACCATTTTGGAAGTTTACTATACTTCAGCAGTTACTGCAACTATGTTATTATAAACATTCATACATATGCTCATAATATAAGCATAACGATCACAATAAACACGAATATGAACTGACCAAGCAGCACGAGAATGCAAATTTTTAAGATATTGATAGAAATTCAAACGTGTGTAGTATTTGGGTGGGAGGAAAGAATGCCGAATGTAGCGGAATTTTCTACTGCTTTCGCAATTTTTTGACCAATAGAACGACGGGCACCTGTCTCTACTCTTCGTGCACACCAAAGGTTAAAAAAAAAAAAAAAAAAATAAGGGCTTTAAAGAAAAAGTAAGCACCTATAAGGGCCTTTATATTTTATTTTCAAATATAAGGACTTATAAGCACTTATAAGGACCGCTACGAACCCTGTGAGAAATCATCTAATTGATTGTGAGAAATCGTATACAATTCGGAGAATGAAAGCAGGACAGCTACTGACAAAGGTCTACAAAGACATAAAGTAACCAAAAGCATCATGTCAAGAATCAAAAAGCATTTAAAGATATCAATGAAGTATGCAGGCAACCATGTCAGTCGAAAATGTGCATAACACACACTTGAGACCATTATTTGTCAACAAGTGCTGAAAGAAACTGACATCTTCCCAAATTGCAAGGGAGTCTGCTGCAGCCACACCAACTCAACTTCCCAGATGTACCGTGAGTGATAGACTACAAAACCCATGATTTGTGTCTCTCTAACTAAGGCTGCAAAATACGCCTGATTGCAGCAACACAAAGGCCATCACAAATGGGAGTACCATAGACTGGAGCTAAGTTCTCTTTATTCATAAGTCTTGTTTTTGTTGGGAAAGTAATTCTTGATATGTAACACTCTGGAAGGAATGCTGCACTAGTGACCAATTATCTTGAGGGTGAAGAAATACAACAGATAGATAGAGTGACCTGCATATTCTTCAGATTTGAATTCAACAGACTAGATGTGGGATGCATTGGGATGCTGATCTGCACTATATCTGCTCCCAACTAGCATTCTCCAGAAGCTCCAAAACACTAATTATTGTGAATGTCTTTTTAATGCAAAACCTTCTAGACCGGGGGTCAACTAGTGGTAAGCAAATAAAGAAGCAAAGTATTTTTAACTATTAAATTCAAAAATTAAAACCTCAACATCCTGATTGAGTTTTCTCTCTAACACTCATAAATTTATGTGATCTGAGCTTTGTTCAAAGTCAGTAGCTGCTTACAGACTTTAGCAAGAGGCGAATGATCTGTCTGTATGGCAGTTTTCGTGGTTCTTCTATGTTGCATGTTTCACAAATATTCTTTTAGCTGTAGACATAACAAAATTTGCCATAAATGATGTTTTTAAAAGGAGTGATAGAAATAGATGCAGTATTTAATACGAAACAAAAATAAGTTCCTATTAAAAAGATAATAGTATCTCATTAATTCTCTTAAGAGTTTATTGATTTATTAGAATGTCACGATTTATCTCGCCATTTCCAGGCTCATATTGCTTCATTTTCAATGAGAATCACTTTTTACATTGGTTTGCTGTCTTTAACAGCAGGTATTTTGTCTTCTTGTTTTGTATTCCTTACTTTTTTATGCAATTTGAGAATATCGCCGTCTGTTTTTGAAGACCTCATAATATATTCTGTATTTAAATATTTGTTAAAAAAATAATATACCAAACCTAGATTTTCAGAATACAAAAATGGCTTGGATTGATCAAGCGGAAAAGCAACAATTCACAGATGATGGATCCAGGACAATCTACTAGCACTAAGAATATTGAAAAGGAAAAGGAAAATGTTTATCGAAAATATAATGAAAGTTATTTACTATTTGGGTTTACTTGGAATGGAGATGAAATGGACCCTCAATCTAAATGTGTTATTTGCACTGAACCATTATCCAATTAAATTATAAAATCATTGTTTCTTTAAAGACATCTTGAATTACTAAGCATAACAATTTAAATGATAAATCTGAAGAATATTTTAAGAAGAAAATTATCAGAATTCAAAAGTAGTAGACAAGTAATGAAAGGTTTTATTACTTCAAGTGAAAAAGCTTTGAAAGCTAGTTACTTGGTAAGCCTAATAATTGCTAAGAATGGGAAGGCTCACACTATTGGAGAAAACCTTATATTACCAGCAGCTAAAGATATCATTTTAACATTATTTGATGAAAAAGCGGCTAATGAACTTTATAATATTCCGTTATGAAATCATACAGTACGTTGATGAATTTATGAAATGGCAAATACCATAAAAGAGACGCTTATTAAAAAAACAAAACACAGTGCAATTTCACATTGCAATTGGATGAAAGTACTGACATAACGAACTTCGTACAATTATTACTTTACATATCTTCAAAGAAGATAAAACAAATTGCTGAAGAATATTTTGTGAATCTCTTCATGACAGAGCAACTGCAAGTGCAATTTTCAAAGTAAATGACAATTTTATGTCTGAGAATGATATTCCTTGGATTAAGTGCATTGCAGTATGCAGTGATGAGGCTTGGACTTTAACAGGAAAACATTCTGAAGTGATTTCTCAAATAAAGAAAGTCATACCTTAAACTAAATTTACTCACTGCTCCATACATCATGAAGCTTTAGTAGCCACAGCAATCTCTGAAAACAGTTTTAAATCAATCCCTGAAAACAGTTTTAAAATTGTTAATTTTATAAAGCCAAGCTTTAAATTCAAGAATATTTATTATTTTATGCCAAGAGATGTGCAGTGAACATGAAACTCTTTTGTTACATTATGAGGTAAGGTGGTTATTCAGGGGAAAGTTTTAAATCACCTTTTTGAACTTCTACCCAAAATTTAAATTTTCCTCTGCGATTCAAAAATTGAATTGCAAAAATGTTTATTTAGTGAATTATGGTTGGCATGTTTAGCATATTTAGCTGATATTTTTGCAAAGTTAAATGAATTAAATTTAGAATTACGAGGACAAAATTTTAATTTGTTTATCATTAGAGATGAAGTAAAGGCAATGATAAAAAAAGCTTGAGCTGATAATCAAAGAATTGTATGATAATATTTCAAGCATTCTGCCAATTTTAGAAAGTTTTCTAACCAAAAGTAATTTGAAAATAGAAGAACTAACATCAATATTAAAAATCATTCATTCATTTTTTCATTAATAAATAATTTCAACAAGTATTTTCCCGAGGATTAAGAAAAAGAAAATTGGATTAGAAATCCATTTTATCCAAATATACCTAAAATTTTGTCATGAAGGAAAAGAACAATTGATAGAAATTTCTTGTGATCTAACTGTAGCTAAAGATTCCAAAAATAATGCACTTGTTAACTTTTGGCTTAACCAAAAAAAGAATTTATAAGCATTTCAAAAGAAGCTATTAAGGGTTTTTTTTTTTTTTTTTTTTTTTTTTTTTTTTTTGTACAATCTATATGTGTAAACAAGGATTTTCTTCCATGATATATTTAAAAACTAAACACAGAACAAAATTAAATGTGGATTCTAATTTACGCTTAAAACTAAAATGAAATAAGACTAGACATAAAGAAATCGATTTCTCTTAAACGGGCCCAAATTTTGCATTAAATTTTAGAATGAAAGTATTATAACTTAAATTCTGATAATTAAAATAGTAACCAATTTTTAATCTAATATTTTATGTGTGCAATAGGTTGTGCAAATGGCAAAATATTTTTAGCCCTAAAGGAATTAATTTTAAAACAGCATTTTGTGTCGATTCACTTTTCAAACTGTAGCCACCAAATATTATTGCCATATTTAAAGAAACTAAATAATGAGATCTGCATGAATACATAAATGTTTCTTGCATTGTGAAAAAACAACAGTACCCAGAGCCATCAAATTTTGAATAATGTAATCTTCCAACAAAACATGGCAACTTCGAAGCTGGAATTTTCAGTTTTGAATTTGTTTTAATATCTATTTCAAATTTTGCAAAACTTAAACGAATTTTTTATTAACAACTCAATGATTTCAAAGCGAGCAATTGCAACACTGTACAAGAGAAAAAACATTTTAATCTCCAGCACGCAAGACTGTGTATCGGAAATTCTAAAGGTGTGCTGTTTTTAAATATTTTGTGATTATGCTGCTGAATTGAATTTTATGTGTTTTGAGTGCAGAGAACACGATATTTAATAAATATTCTTTCTTTTTAGCCCAAATGGCATAAGCCTAGATGGGCTATTAACTTCAATTTGGCATTTTGCATTGAAAACTTTAATGTCCATTTCACTTTTCAAATTGTTGCCACCAAATATTATCGCCCTGTGTTATATTTAAAAGAATTCAATAATGAAGAATCTGCATAAATGTATGTATGCTTCTCGCACTGTGGTAAAACAACGGCACCTAGAGCCATCCAATTTTGAAGAATGTAATCCTCCACCGAATATGGGCGTCTGGAAGACCAAATTTGGAATTTGTTTTATTATTGATTTCATATTTTGTAACACTTTAACAAATTTTTGATTAACAAACTGAATTATTTCAAAGCGAGCAATGGCAACACTGTACAGAGGGGGAGGAATTTTATCTCCAGAATGCGAGAGTGTGTAACAGAAATTCTAAAGATATGCTCTTTTAACTATTTTGATATATTGCTGTTGAACTGAATTTTATGGTTTAAGTATGAAGAACATGATATTTAATAAATAAAGATAACACACAAAACACTCCTTTGGACATAATATAAAATCTAAAGCTTTCAGACTTTTTTTTTTAATATTTCTATTCAGAAATTGAAAAATAATCATTGTAAATTGTAGTGGTGATACCAAAGTTTTTCAATTTTTTTTTAGATGGTATGCATTAGTTAAAAGGTTGAGGACTGCTGTTCTAGACAATCTAATACAAAGCACAAAGAATCACTGTAAAGGTTGGCCATTACCTCACAACTTATTCATTTTTTCTATGTATCTCTAAAAAATTGTAACACCAACTTTCTCTTACCCAAATTTATATCACATTTTCTGTTTTTATTTAAATTTGTTTTACGTAAATATAGACTATTTTGCATTTTGCAGATTTGGCATGACATGACAAAATAAAGATCTTGAACAAGTTTCATCCTCTTAGCTGCAAAATTGATCAAATTACATGAGTTTTTATAGTTGGTCCATTAACTTTCCTAACCAGTATAAAAGCATGTGGCACAAAGAGAGCATATTGAATGCTAAAGGTAGAAGTAAAGGAAATGAGCATTCGATAATTTAAATTTTTTTAGCTGGAAAACAGATCATACACTCTTTTGCAGAAAACAAACAAAAAAAAAAAAAAAAAAAAAAAAAAAACAAAGCACCATGAAGGAAGTGGTTGTTTTTGATGAAACTGAATATGTATATAGCTCATACACAAATAATAAAATTATTAGAAAATCAAGATCATAGTACCTGTTCACGGCTCACAATCACCATTGAGTGTTCAAATTAGTAACTGGTTGAACCACCCCTGGCAGCAATGCTTGCTTGAATTCGTCAAGGCAAGGAGTGGTAGAGGTTCCTAATGTCATCCCGTGACACATTCTGCCAGGCATTCAGCAGTTGTTGTTCCAGATCTGTGATATTTTGTGGTGCCCGAACCTGGCAGAATACCATGTCCCAGATATGGTCAATTGGTGAAAGGTCTGGTGACTTTGCTAGCCAAGGAAGAGTATCAACTGCATGGAGAAAGTCCACAGATGAGCGAGTGGTATGTAGCCTGGCTTTATCTTGTTGGAAAATGGCCCCAGGATGACGTGCCATGAAGGGTAATGCAACCGGCCGCAGAATGGTATCAACATATCGTTTAGCTGTTAAAGATGTACGGAGGATGACTAAAGATGACCTGCTGTCATAAGAAATAGCACCCCACACCACCACACCTGAGGTTGTGACTGTATGCCTTTGTAAAATAAAGGCTGATTGGGACCACTGGCCCTGTCCTCTCCAGACACAAACATGGTGGTCATCTGCTTCAAGAGTGAAGCGGAATTCATCACTGAACACTATACGATGCCAGTCTGATGGCAGCCATGATGATCGGCAGCAACCCCACTCCAGATGACTCTGCCGATGTTGTGGGGTCAAAGGCAAATGTCTTAAAGGCCTCTGTGAGTGTAACCCCACCTCAGACAAGTGCCGTGAGATGGTGAACGGTACCACGGGAGGTATAGACGTGGCTGCAGTGCTTTGAATGGTCGACAATGATATCGCTGGGGTGGTTCGGGCCTGGCGAACAGTCAACCTATCTTGTCTCACATTTGTGCTCCTTGGCCTTCCGGAGCCTTCATTATGTCGGCAATTTCCTTGTAGCAATTATTGCTGCCAACATCTTTGCACAGTAGTGTCTGTATGCTGCAGGTGGCAGCTTATTGCTAGGTATGACCACTTAGCTTCACGCAGCCCTACAATGCGACCAAGTTCGAAGTTGTTGAGTTGTCTGTAAGGCCTTCGATATCGTCATAATGGCATCTTTAGTTGCCTCTTTACGGAATTACAATGGCAGCAACAAAAAAAGGTAAATTTTCCGCCTTTGTTACTGTTTTTATACTTTGCAAATTGTGCACTAGAAATGCGCGCTATGATCGCAATTCCTGTTTATTTGCCTTGAAACTTTGATCATTTGCATGTTCGATCAAGATGTTTTTGCATACTGAATTTTGTCACAATTGCATCTTTTTGGTTGCTTCAATTTTTTTGCAAAACATAGTACAAACAGATATGAAGAAGTTGAACAAGTTAATAAGTTTTAATAATGAAATATTTTTTGAATAACATGAACTAAATAAACCTATTTTTATATACAAAACCCTTCAAAAATAAAGTACTGAATAAAAATTTGTAATTAAACTATTACTACAGCTAAATTAATTTTATACCATATGGCAAAGTTATTTTCAGAGATTATTATTTCTCTGAGATATTTCGCTGAGAATTAATTTCAGCGTAAAAAAGAAAATGCATTCTGTGAAATTTGTTACATTTTTTTTTTTTTTTCATTTTAAATAAATTTATTTAGAACCTGGATCACCTAGATCAGTTAACAATGGCAGCAGCCAATTAATTAAAAAAATTAAGTAACAAGAAGATTCAAAATTTCCAAAAGAATTATGCTTTGCTATTGATAAGAATTTATATAATTTGGAAATTAAACTTCATATCATATATTAATGTCTCCCAAAATTTTCTTTATATTTTGCTTTTAAATAATAGAAAGATTAATTCAAAAATTCCATTACCTTTACATAAGCTCCAACAGCTTGCTCACACATTCCAACAGAGGCAAACATAGCTCCAAGGTCCTATCATATTTCAGTAAAAAAATTAAATTCGTAGGAATAAATTGATATAAGAGACATACAAGGAACATCCAATAGTAAAAAAGGAAAATAAAAATGTACATTGCTCCAAAAAAAAAAGGGGAGGGGACAGTTCTATATCTCCTGTTCTACTGGGCCGATTGACAAAATGCAAATTGCGTTCTTCATGTTTCAAAAGCAGGACTTAGGATATATATTAGATTTATATATAGCTCTACTCTAACATAATTATTTTGACATCAAATCGGACTTTTTTTAAAGTAACATACCATTTTTTTCCATATTTCGATTCTACAACTCAAATTATGCCTAAATATTAAATTTTGTAAAATTTGGTGCGAAATTTATGGAGAAATTCAACAATTTATGTTGGCGCTTTTTATTCAGTTTGCGCCAAAATTAGCTCACTTGGCAAACTTCTTAATATGTGGCAACCTATTTCCATTTACATTTTTACATAGGAAAAAAAGACCCAATCGTTCCTTCTTTCACATAATGTTCTTTATATTACATTTTTAATTATAATTGTTATTAATTTTTAGCATTTTTTCTTCTTTTTTGAATTTCATTTTAATTGTTTAAGTTGCATGGGTTTCTTTTGAATAACTGTTTTAAAAATTTCTATTTACTCATTCAAACTGTGTAGTTTAAATCAAAGGTGCATCGTTTATTTATTTATTTTTTTTTTAAATAGCTTTCTTTATACTATATGTTTAGTCAAAGTTACTATTTTAGGTAATTTTAAATTTTTAGACTTTTCTTTTAATTGTTAGTGTCACATTGTCTCTTCAGATAATTATTTAAAAATTTTCTATTTATTCCTTCGAACTGAGCATTTTAAATATATTTATTAATATAAATTTTCCAGAATTTGATTCTATTTATTTGAATTGCGTTTCTTCCGGAAGAATACTTTGTAACCAAGACTACGATGCATTTGAAAACTGCATATATTAAAAGAGAAAATACAGTAAAGCACAGTTAATACGCCTTCCAATGTTCCGTTCAGAAAAGATATATATAAATAAGAGAGATGTATAACCGACATTTTAACTTAGGATGACCTTGCATAAAAAAAACTGCTTTAAACAGTTTTATCACCGTGCCTATTGCTTTACACAATTTTATCCTACATTTGGTTTCTTAAAATGTTATTCATATTTTAGTCAAATGTTTTATTTTTGAAATCGCAAGAATCAAATATCATAAGATTAAAAAGTTTTAAAAAAAGCACAAATACTAAATTTTACGCAAAAATTTATTTTTTCTTCTCTTTTTCTTCAGGCATTCTACTTTATTCTTGCTCTTTTTCAATAGGCATTCTGCAAGTATATTAAAAAGCATCCAACTTTTTTAAATATCTTGGTATTTCTGACAATCATTTTAAATAAACTTATCGCCTTCCATTTCATAAAAGCCCACAAACGGCCGAGTTGTAAAGTTGCTGAACACTAGTAGTTCACTCCGGGGTTCGAATCCCGGTAAACAGGCTGGTTGCATGGGTTTTTTTTCGTGGATTTTCTCATGTGTAACGTGTATGCGAGCTGGTTTCCCTTAGAAAGTTCTTCACGAAGGCATCCTTCCTTTTAGGCAGATAGCCCTGCTTTGCCATAACTTAACAATCCAATTCAATCTATTTCATCAATATTTGGTCAGAGCCTTTATCAGTCTATAGAGGCTAAAAATTTTGAAGGTATGAGATGAAAGGAAAGACTGGTTTCATCAAGAGGTTTTGGTTTATTTAATTATGACAAAGCATACTAGGGCTATCTGCCTAAGTGGAGGGATGCTTTCGTGGAGGACTTTCTTAAGGAAACTGGCTTGTATACACATTACACATGGGGAGAACCACAAAAACGCCCCTGCAGCCAGCCCGTTCGCGGGATTCGAACCTCGGATCGAACTACCAGTGTTCAGCGACTTTACCGCTCAGCTGCTGGCCGGCCCCATCCAGAGAAAGTTTTTTGAAATATTTGCAATTACTTTATAAGGATTTATTAATAACAGTAATAATTACTTATTATGTTACTGATGATTAGGATTCAGTTCTTGACAATTACATTCTAAATTAGAATTTTAAGGATATAATGAAAATACACTACGCACAAAAATACATTTTAGGATAAAAATGAGTTGATTTTTTGTGTTTAAAAACTTCTTAAATTATTTAATAAACATCGTACTTTCGTTGTTAATTGAATCCATAATGTTGGGTGTGGTTTATATAATTATTCTTACTTGTCCACAGAACCTGCTGACTTATCCAGCCATTAAGTAGCTGCAGATCATTTCTACATAACCATTGAACTTCTATTGATTTGGTCTCTAGAGGGTTGTATGTTTATATCATACTTTTATAAAAATGATTATTCTGAATCTTATGTTTCTATAAAAATATACTGTGCTTTAAAAATATGGATGATAGTATCAGCCGCTCTTTCAGCCAGTTCATAAGCAACAGTTTGTTTAGAAATAAATTATGCAGTTAATGTCATAAAATATTTTCATAAAATTCAAATAAACATCAAACAAAAGTTCTCAGTTGTACACAATTCGATTTAAACGAAGTTAAAGTAAAGTAGCAGACGATAAAACGCCGAACGTAAAAATTTACTCTTATTTTTTTTAAAAAAAAGAAAGAAAGAGAGAAATCAAAAAAATTAGTTAAAAATTTGAATAATATCATCTATAATTTAAAAAAATAGCTTTTCATATAGTATTAATAAATATTTATTATGCATCATTGAGGGAAAAAATTTCATATAATTACTGCTCCGTATAATTTTATTTGAAATTTAAGGTTAAAAATAGCTGAGGCAATTCACTGTAGCAAAAATCCATAAACCACATTTGGCGTTATTATTGCTCCAAAAAAAGATGCCAAATTTCAAAACGTGAAAATATGTAAATTCTTGTATATCTTAGAAAATTTTGAATAAAAAAAGTCTAATTTTTTGCAGATATGTTTAGAAATACACCTACTTTAAGATGATGATAAAATTTTATAGGATATAATTCAAAATTCTTTTTGAAAAATTTATAAAAATTATTTAAAAATAGAAATTTAAAAAATAAAACACAAAAATTGGGTAAATTTTATTTGAAATGAACCTTAATTTCGAAATGTGAAAGGAAAAATCAAAAAGGTTTAATAAAAAAAAAGAGATATTAATAAATATTTGCCAAATTCAATTAACATTGAGGAGCTAAAATTTTGAGAGCTAATATTTTAAAAACTACTCGTACGATTTTTACAAAAACTTGGCATTCTGGCATAATTTGAGTCGCAGAATCGAAATATGGAAAAAAATTTGTGTTATTTCAGAAAAAGTCCAACTTTGTGTCGAAATTCCTATGTTAGATAAGTGCTATATATAAATCAAATATATGTCCTAAGTCACGCTTTCGAGACATGAAAAACGCAGTTTCAATTTTGTCAATCGGCCCAGTAGAACGGGAGATATAGCAAATGTACTTTTTTTTTTTTTTTTTTTTTTTTTTTTTTTTTTTTTTTTAAAGCAGTGTACATCAGTCTAACACTTTGCAAGTGCCTCCTAGAAGCACAGAACTGTAGAAATAGAGTAGTGCATGAGTTTTACAAATATGCAGATGTGTTCTGAGGACAATGAACACAATACTGCAGGGAAACAGTCAATTTTCTTGTATTCAGAGGTACAGGACTTCACAGTGTATTGCATAATGTCCCAGATGTATTCAATTAGTTCAGATCTAATGACATAAGTGGTCATACCAAGATTAAACACAGATGAGTATCCATCTTACTACAGTTTGGTGTCGTTGAAGACATGTAGTTGCACGTAGTCATCTTAGAAGAGGGAAAATCGAAATGAATTAGCAACAGTAACTCATCAGAAAAAATATGCAACTCTCCCAAGTAAACCTTCTTTCCTTTGATACCGGTTTTCCGGAAATCCATACATTTTCTGAAAGCTTATATCAGAAGCAGAAAAACAGTGAAGTCTTAGGGGCAGAAGGTCAAGCGTTTAGGAAATACTTTATTGCGTACTTGTGAGAGTAACAAAATACACAACTCTCACAAGTAAACTTTCTCTCCTTTGATACCTATTTTCCGAAAACCGATACATTTTCAGAAAGCTTATATCACAAGAAGAAAAACTGTGAAGTCTTAGGGATAGAAGGTCAATCGTTTAGGAGCTATAGAACTCAAAAAGTAGCATTGAAGTGTGTATAGATGGACATAGTTCCCCAATGGCATCTGTATTTCTTGTATGTTCATGTACTGTCTGCTTCCGAACTACCTGATGGTCAAGTTCTACAAAAAGAACTGGTACCTGAAGAATTTATAGGAAAGACCCAGCCTCTAGATAGTCAATTTTTCAGACACTACAAATCTTTTGTCAGTTGCATAACGGGCACAATCATTAGCGAGACACAGGAGCACATTTGGGATCGCAATAGTTTTCTGGCCCTGCAGTCTTTTTCACTATATCAATTCAGCGCTCCTCGTTTTAAGAACTTGATCAAGTATACTTTTTATAAAAGCAGATACTTGGATGACGAACCTCGAAATATGGATTGCTGCTTCGATTCATTGACAGATAATGAGTGTGCAAAGTATGATGCTATCGATTTGTAAAATGTACCCATTGTGAACTGTCTTTCTGTCTGTCTCACTGTTTATTTGATGAATTGCACATTGTTTGTCTCTTGTAACAGATTTTGTTTGAAGTCAATAACAAGTCACATTTTCAACATCCCAATGTATAATGTTTCTTTTCAACAAGTTGTTCCTTTATATTGAGATCCCCACCTTCTAACCATATTATTAGTTCATATAAACACGTGAAACGAGCATTTTAGCTACTTTAAGTGTCATGTTTCCAAAACTTTTTTTTATATACTTCGTGGGCCCTATAGCTCCTAAATGCTTGTTCCTCTGGCCCTAAGATTTCACAGTTTTTCTACTTGTGATATAAGCTTTCAGAAAATATATGGTTTCC